GGACTGTGTGTCATAAACAGTATATAACAGCTGAAATAATATCTGATTAAATAAGATATTTTACCACCCCTACAGGGGAGGGCAATAAACATCTTAAAGTATCAGAAACATAAATTCCCAGCGGGCTGGGAATAGAATTTAACTATAGAATCACAACATAAATATGGCGCCCCTGGGTGGGCCCATTAATTGTAACATTTATTTAGCGTCCCATGCGACTGGGCTCATTGAATGTAACATTTAATTGGTGTCTCAGTTTGGTGGTCATCGAATATAACAGTCATTCTGCACATATATGAGAATAAACCATTATTGAAAACCGTGTGAAAGCATTAACATCAGCTCTCACCACTCAATATTGAAATCTTAAACTCACAACTTAAGAATCCAATACTAAATGTCTTAGCTTATATGAGAAGAAAATATAACCTTTGACATTCTTGGAGCATCAAAATATAGAAAATTTAACTAAATCTAGTAACTCCAAAATATCTCTTCAGCTAGTGATAACCAACTTTACTTCAAAGCAAAACTCAGATGATTCAAATCAATCTGATCACTTTGGTCCAACTAAAACTAAAAGATTTAACTCCCAAGTTAGTCTTATTGTTCGACCAAATTTTATGCACACCTATAACTAGATGCTGCCATTTGTGGTTTCTATAACCACATCCCAAAAATGAAAACTCCCAAGTTATGCTATTTCAAAGCCACCTCCAGTCCAAAATAGGTTAGATGCCTCGAAATTTAACCTAAATCCCTTAGTCTATTAGTCTGATAAGACTCCTAAAAACTTATTTTATATTGTGTAGAACAAGATTTGTTGCCAGATTTAACGTAAGTTAATCTGTGGTCCTACCCGACCAAAAGGGGGTGGATTCAAATTGAATTGCTTAAAAAACCCTTAAAGAAAGGTGAATCATAAGCTAAATTGCTAGTAAAACCTTAAAGGTTAGGCTTCGCGCCAAACTGCTTATAAATCCTCCAAGACAGGTAAAGCATGCGCTAAAATAGCTAATAAATCCTAAAACAAGGTATAGCATTTTTAACACTGAAAGAAAAGTGTTTCTTTGATATCACAGAAAAGGGTGAAGCATAAGCAAAATTGCTTGTAAGTCCTTAAAAGGTAAGCTTTGCGCCAAACTGCTTATAAATCCTCAAAGACAGGTAAAGCATGCGCTAAAATAGCTGGTAAATCCTAAACAAGGTGTAGCATTTCTAACACTGAAAGAAAAGTGTTTCTTTGATATCACAGGTTTAAAGATAACCCGTGACCCGTTTCTACACACATAAAAATAAGTCCTTACAATATGTATATGTAAATATACAAGTATAGTGGGTACTGACTGGATTGTGTTTTTTTGAAATTTCTTAATAACTTGTGTTTTTGTGCCATCAGCTGAAAATGGATCCAAGCATCCTCAATTTGGGGCACACCATTGACTCCATAGGCATAGAGAAACAGAAACAAATTGTTGCAAAGCTTATCCACTTATCTCCAGAAAAGCAGGATAACCTAAACAATTTTAACCTCAGCCTATGTGAAGAAAAGATTCTAGAATTAATTAACTTAATTCAAAACCCAAATGGAAGCTTTCTGATAACAGATGTACTCTGTGAGCTCACGCTTCTTTATCAGCTTAAATCCCAAATAAAAGCTAAACAGTACTCTGAGTTAGAAGCCAAATATCAGATGATCTGCCACAGAGTAAGTGCTGCAAACATTTTATTGTCAGGAGCTGACAAGATCAAAGACCCATGTGGCCAGACTGACCATGCCTCAGAACAAACAGTGACCCCCCTCTTGGAGGAGCTATGCAATAAACAAAGCAAGCAGACTTTGAATCAGCAGGAGGTCACCCCAGTCAATAGGAGAACAGTTCCTGAAGCAGATACAAAGTCTCTAAACTCTGAGTTAACACTAAATAGATCTGAAGATGTTCAAAGTCAAAGTAGTGTCGCAGACAGAGAGAAACAAGTAGATCACTTGGTAAACTCAAGCAGTTTAAAATTTTGCAAAGGACAGCCATGCAAACCAATCTCTGTCTCACACTCCACTGACCGAGCACCAAGTGCCAAAGTTCACAGCTTGAAAAACTCTGAGGAGAACCAGTCTCCCTTGTGTCATCAAAGGTTAGCTGAAAACCCCCCACCACTTAATGAGCAGAACCAGCTTCCTGACGGGCCAGGTCCCCCGAGTGACCATAGAATTCAACAAATTGAATCCTTGGCCAAAGACATTGATATTTTTGACCCAGAAAATCAACACTCCAACATAGCTGATTATCTGCAAGAAGTTGAGCACTGTCTAAAAGACTTGCCATTTCCTTCTTCTCGTGAGAAATTGAAGTTGATTTGGAAAACAACAGCTAGAAGCGTCCATGTTTTCATAAAATCTCTTCCTCCAAAAATCAGGGAAAGTTATTCAGCTCTTTGTCAAACCTTAAGAGAAGAATATTCTGGTTACAGAGATCCGGCGTTAGCAACGCTTGAGGCATCTTTAGTTCTCCAAGGAGAACATGAAACACCCAGAGAATATTACTTTCGCTTGAGACAGGTTTATTTTGAGGGCTGCAGTTCTCCAGATATTGACGAAGAAGATCCCACATTTAAAGCATTGTTCATCCAACATCTACATGAAAGTGTACGATATGATGTAACAATGCAGTGCAGGATAGAAAACCTTTCTATGCAGGAAACTCGCAGATATGCTCAGCTTGTTTGGGAAATAAGTCTCAAATCAGATAGATTTCAAAGCAAGCTTAGAGTCTTTAACCTTCAAACAAAGAACAGGACCAGAAACAGACACAGATTCAGTTCCCCAGTGGTTCACCAAGATGAAGGTCATAAGCCTTCACATCACAATGCAAAACCAAAGGTTTACACTGGTAAAGGGGGACATCAACAAGTTACAGAAACAACCACAAAAGAAAACTTAGAACAGATCTGCAAAACAGTTCTTACAGAGCTACTGGCTTCTCTGACCAATCACAAGGTACCACAATTCCAAGCTAATGGTAAAACTTATCATATCCAAGAGTATGATAGTTGCTGATAATTTCTAACATACTTTAACCTGTTTTATCCTTTCTTTCTTTTGTTTCACAACTTGAGAAATGATGAAGGTTGAACAACAGCATCATGAAGGTGTTAGGAAATTTTGTTTGGAATGTATATATTTGTGTATCAGGGTCAGACTTTCCTGCCAGACCTGCTTCAACCAGACGCAAAACCTCTGGAGAAAATGAACTGTTTTATGATAAGATAGGGTCAGCTTCTGCCAGACCTGCAAGAAATCATCCAGGGACAAACACTGGAGAAGATATTAACCCTAAATGAACTTTCTTCCTGCCAACAGGAACCTGACTCATCACCGCTCCAGATCTCATGGCTTTATGGACCTATTTGTGATCTGAAAACAAAGAACTGCATCTTTTATTTCCAGATCAAAAGGGGGATATGTTGTGCCATATGCCATGATCATACTTTTTGGACATTGGGAAGCAGTGTCCATATTTCATCCTGATAGGATGACCAGAGAAGAAAACGCAGCTTTGGTGAATAACAGCTGGGGGACTTCTGCAGCCCCCCTTTTTCAGCCAGCAAGTCACATGGAAGTCACAGAGGTGTGAAAACCTACCCCCCTCTGTGAGGGCAGAACAAAACCACAGAGCACACAGGATTCTCTTTTTTTTTGCCTCTTCACTTTTTCTCCCTCGTCTGATCCAGCCTGCTTCTGCTCCTGCTCTCAAAGCTGGGGCCCACTGTGGCCCACAGTGGAGATGCAGGCCCCAGGGAAACCAGATCCCCAGAACCATCAAGGATGAGTCAGAACTCTTCAGAACCTAACTGCTGCAAACAGAACCTTTGCAACACATTTCTCTTGAGTTTCAGAACTTACAGAGCCAAACTGGATGAAGACCATGCCATGGTGTGAGACTGAGGGGACCCCTGCTGTGAGACTGAGACAAAGAACCCCTGACTGCAGAGCTGCAAAACTGGATAAAACTCAAGCTTTCCAAACAGACATGGAAAAAGGTTTGCAGGTCTGGCATGATTAGGGACAGAACAAGCAATGTGTCTTTTGATGATTCTAATCATATCGTGTGTTTACTGCTCAGTAAAGACAACGCTAATTGATGCTAAAGAATGGACTGCATGCTAGGCTATGCTACAGGAATATGTGTTGAGCTGTTGCTAAAGCTTAGACAAGCTTTATTCACTAAGGATTTAACACTGATAGAACATTAGTGTTCACGTGTTCCTCAAATGCTCATTACATTTCCATTGCCAAGTATGACCAAGAGTCATTTAGTGGAATCCTGATGTCTATTCGCTGCTAGCTATTTCAAAGAGGGTAAAGAATCATTTAGCTAAAGGTTATTGGTTCTTGATTAAGCAAATCATTCAATAAAACATTATTTGGCCAAATAATGTTTTATTCACCTCATGGATTTGCATTGTGAATTGGTCTGAAAACATTCCAATGTCCTTAAAATTAGTGAAAAGCTAATTTGATCAGATCCCAAATTCTTCCAGATAAACTTTGGTTTCAAACACAGAATCCATCTTAAACTGTAATATGTTTTTCAACCATTTCCCCCTTCCTCTTTGTACATAGTAGTTAGTTTAGTTTAGTTGAGTTTTACTAGTCTTAGTTGAGAGTGTTAAACTGAAATATGTTTGACTTGGAGCTGAATGATTTTTGTTAATAAAATCTTATATTTTGAACAGAAGTTGTGGTGAATTTATTCCATGTATGTGCAGAAATAACTGTTTGACCATGATTAGTGCTTGAATCACTCTTTCATTTATTGTTCTAACACACAGTTAGTAGGACTGTGTGTCATAAACAGTATATAACAGCTGAAATAATATCTGATTAAATAAGATATTTTACCACCCCTACAGGGGAGGGCAATAAACATCTTAAAGTATCAGAAACATAAATTCCCAGCGGGCTGGGAATAGAATTTAACTATAGAATCACAACAAGTTGTTTTTGAAAGTGCAGTAGTCAATTCTACTAAAGATAAATGCATGAATGAGTTTTTCCAGATCCTGATTGGACATTAGTGCCTTAATCCTGGAGATGTTTTTCAGGTAATAATTTGTGGACCTGGTAATTGCCTTTATGAGCTGCTGAAGGTTCAGGTCTGAGTCCATCATGAGACCAAGCTTTCGGTCTCATGATGGACTCATTTCATGAGACCATATTAATCTGCTCTAAGCATTTAACCAACGTTCTAATCGGTTCATAGTCAGCTGGTGACATTGTGATGTAAATCTGTGTGTCATCTGCATAGTAATAGTAACGGATCTTGTTGTTTGCTATAATCTGAGCTAAGGGGAGCATATAGAGGTTCAATAGGAGGGGCCCCAGGATGGAGCCTTGAGGAAACCTGCATTTGATTTTTCTGGTCTCTGATTTAAAGTTTCCTACTGAAACAGTCCACGTCTTTCAGGTAGGATTTAAACCAGTCCAGTGCAGACCTAGTTTTCCAGACGCTTTAATAAAATCGAGTGATCAACAGTATCAAATGCTGCACTCAATTCCAATAATACCTGAAATGCAATGTTTGTTTTTAACACCTCATGTGCCTAACGGACCTAGTGATTTTTTTTTTTGGCACAAAACTATGAGAAAACTCTGAATAAATCAGGAAAAAAAACATGATTGGCTCTAAGGAGAGCAGAGACAGAGATTACTGAAGAAAACCTGCTCCCGACCAGGTCAGCTCTGAGGAGAAGGTTACTACAGCAACGGAAACAGACGCTGAGGAAACTATATTAAGCCGAACAAAGTATTGGAATGGAAGATTCACTTACCAAACAACAAGCTCACTATCTGCTGCAAATCTATAATACATAGTTCTATTGGTGTCTATACTGTAGGTATCTGTCCACCTTCTTTCTCAGTCAGTTAAGCATATCAAATTAATTTTCTGCTCTATCTGTTGATACTGCTTAATGCTTTTTGTCCTTGACAGATTCATTCTAGACTTTTTATTATTCAGCTTTATTATCAGAACATTGAAAGCCAGATAATCCTGAATTTAGAACCTTTGGCATATGTACGTGGGCTTATCTTCTCATTGCTACAATATAACAATAGACATGCATAGGGCCTTTGCAGCTATTCCAAATCTATTCATTAGCAGATTTCTATAGAGGTTCATGACACACATCTAAAAGTTTCTAGACCCCTGCTCTAGAGTTTAAACCCGCTGCTTTAGACACATTTCAGCACAAACACACAGAGGAACCAGAAAACCAGACTCTAAACCCAGGAAGTGGAGGTTCATTAAATGTGGTGTTGAAGGTGTAGAGGTGGACCAGTGAGCTGGAGCAGACTTTGTAGAAGGACAGGATACCGGCAGGACAGTCCACATACACTGCTACTCTGTTTGAGGAAGATGATGATGAGGAGGAAATTGGTGCTTTTATGTTATTGTGCCACACAGAGTAACCATGGCGATCAGAACATCTCAGACTCCAAGACTTTTCATTTCCTCCAAACATGCAATCTTCATCTCCCCCTTTTCTTTTTATTCCTCTGTAACTCAGTGATAGATACACAACTCCGCTCCACTCAACCTCCCAGTAGCAGCGACCAGACAGACCAGATTCACACAGTAGCTGAGGATGCCTGAGGTCAAATCTGTCTGGATGATCAGGATATGACTGCAGCTCCTCCACATTTGTCACGCTCTTGTTGTTGTCAGAGAGTTTAAGGTTTCTGCTCACTGTGTTTGTGTCAATAGTGAGCTGGCATGAATCTGATGGAGAGAAGAAACACAACCCAACTGCAGTTGTTGGTCATTTATTGACACTTTGATGATAGCTCTTAAATGAGCGATGAGGGATTTTGAAAATGGTTGAATCTGAGCTGCCATGTTGTAAGGAATCAATTGAAAAAGAAACATACTTACACTTCCTTAAACCTGGTGTCAACCATTGGACTCCAGCAGGCTCCACCCTGAAAGGAAGATTGGGGGGGTTATGGATTTCAGATAATCACTCTTTTTTCAGTTTGCAATTGGGAACCACTTAAATCATCGTCTGGAAGGTATCATTTTGAACTTTGTTCATCACTAATTTGTCAAATAATTTTTTGTATGCTTTAATCTTTCATCCATTTTAGTATTCTGTTGTCCGTTTTATACCATTTATGTCTGCCATACTTTCTGACATGCATTTCCAATTATTGTACATACCTAGGAAGGGAGGGTGCTCTTAAGGGGACAACCTCTGCATTTTAGTTAGTTAGACTTCATTTAACCTAATTGCTACAAGGTCATCCAAATTCACAATAAAGCTGACTATCTAATGGCTTATTAGATAGCCAAGCTGTGGCACTTAATTGAAAACAATACCATAATTCCTATTATTGGAGTTGTGTGAGGGAAATTGTGTCTTTTGTTGTGAGGTAAACAGAGTGTGGATGCATAGTACTTGTCTTCAGGTAACTCCATACCTCAGAGATTCTAGTCTCCAATGTGGATCCTTAAGTCCAGCAAACAACAGCTTGCCTCCTGAGTCTCCAGGATGATTGTAACTCAGGTCCAACTCTTTCAGGTGGGAGGGGTTGGAGCTTAGTGCCATGGCCAGATGAGCAGAGCCTTCATCTGAGATCAGACAGCCTGACAAGCTGAAAACACCCAAATTAACACACAGTTAACCCATATGTTGTATTGAGGACAAATTAAATACAAGAAATCTAAATAAACTGTACATGAGGGTTTTGAAAAAAACAAAACAAAAAAAAACATTAAGATGTGGTATTTGATTTTAGGATAAAAGACTCACAACTTTATTTCTATATAGTATATGGTTCTATACATATATATCTATACCAGCAAAACCTCCTCAAACTCAGGAACCAAGTCTAGTGGATTTTTTTTTTTATTTTTCTTGGAATGAATATGACCTGATGACTGAGAATCTTCACCAGCATATTGGCCTTAAAAGGAAATTCAGAACACTGATGTTAAAAGAAGAATGCTACTTCATCTTGTGGGAGCCCACAGGATGGATCCTATGTTGTTCTCTCGCTATGAACTGAACTTGTAAACCTGGTTAACTGATGTTCATTAGCTTTCTCTGTTGGATTTACGTGGTCACTAACCTGATTCCTCTCCTGCAGAGTTTCCTGCCTCAGATGCCATAGCTGCTGCTACTGCAGATTATTCATTTTTAAATAAACGCTTTTTGAATAATCCCACTGTCTGTCTTGCCTGAATACAGGATCCTTCTGTTCTGAATCGTGACAGGAAGCGGAAGTCTTCCATGCATTAACTTTGTTGTTCCTAGGAATTGTGTCTTTTAAGATGCTTTTCATGGAATTACCCATAAAATTTATCAAAATCATAAAATAATGTTAATATAATGCAATGAGTTTGAACAAATATGTCTGAGGTTAAGGAGGGTGTGAATAAAGTATTCACTCTATTATCCACTGCTGGCCTACTTGCTAAAAATATATTTTACTGTGGATGTTATGGAAAGAATTGTAGTTTATTGTGGTCTAACAAATGGGACAAAAAGAAAGTCACATTCATGTCTGAGATTTACCAGAGGCTCTCCAGTTTACAGTTTGGACTCTCCAATCCAGCAGATAGAAGCTTGACTCCAGAATCATGCAGGTTGTTGTTACTCAAGTCCATTTGTCTGAGACTGCAGGAGTGAGATCTCAGAGCTGAGGACAGTGCTTCACAGCTTCTCTCTGAGAGGTTACAATCACTCAGTCTGCAGGAAGAGGAGATATGTCAATATGCACATGTTACTCTTTGTATTATTCTGAAACAGTGCTTAAAGTGTGGAAAGATTTTAAAGAAGATTCCTTGCCATTAATCTTCAAATATATATTGAAATTGTTTTTTCATTGTGTGCTTACATTGCTTTGTTTGAGGCTTTAACCACAGGCATTAGCCTCAAAAGGACCTCTTCCTGAGCAGCATATTTCTTCAGGTCAAATACATCCAGATCTTTTCCTGATGATAGTAAGATGAAGATCAGAGCTGACCACTGAGCAGGTGAAAGTTCATCGGTGCATAGACTACTTGAAATCAGAGCTTTTTGGATCTCCTTGATTAGAGAATGATCATTTAGTTCATTCAGACAGTGGAAAAGATTGATGCTTTTATCTGCAGACACATTCTCGCTGATCTTCGCTTTGATGTACTCTGCTATTTTAGGATTGCCTTCTGGACTTTCTGTCTGTGTCAGCAGGCCATGTAGGAGACTCTGATTGGTCTGCATTGAAAGCCCCAAGAGAAAACGGAGGAACAAGTCCAGGTGTCCATTTGGGCTCTCTAAGGCTTGGTCAACAGCTACCTGATGAAGATTTAGCCTTTTCTGCTTCTTTTTAAAAGCTGATGATAACTTTAAGGTTTGTCTTTTTTCACTAATTAGGTTCACACCAGACTTTTCGAATGTCAGATGAACACGAAGAGCAGCAAGAAACTCTTGAACACTCAGATGGACAAAGCAGAATAGCTTCTCCTGGTAAAACCCTCTCTCCTCTCTAAAGATCTGTGTGAACACTCCTGAGTACATTGAGGCTGCTTTGATATCAATTCCACACTCTCTTAAGTCTGATTCATAAAAGATTATGTTTCCATTCTGCAGCTGATTAAAATCTAGTTTTCCCAGAGACTCAATCATCTTCCTGCTCTCAGGACTCCAGTGTGGATCTGTTTCAGCTCCTTCATCATACTTGACCTTCTTTACTTTGGTCTGAACCACCAGGAAGTGGATATACATCTCAGTCAGAGTGTTGGGCAGCTCTCCTCCTTCTCTGGTTTCCAACACATCCTCCAGAACTGTAGCAGTGATCCAACAGAAGATGGGAATGTGACACATTATCTGGATGCTTTTTGATGTATTTATGTGGGAGATTATTCTGCTGGCCTGCTCTTCGTCTTGGAATCTCTTCCTGAAATACTCTTCTTTCTGTGAATTAGTGAACCCTCTCACCTCCGTCACCAAGCTAACATAGTCAGAAGAGATCTGATTGGCTGCTGCAGGCCGTGTGGTTATCCAGAGCAGAGCAGATGGAAGCAGTTTCCCCCTGATCAGGTTTGTCAGCAGAACATCCATTGAGGTGGACTCTGTAACATCATTTAGGACCTTGTTGTTGTGGAAGTCCAGAGGAAGTCGACTCTCATCCAGACCATCAAGAATGAAGAGAACCTGGAGGTGTTCAAAGCTGCTGATTCCTTTGGTTTCAGTAAAGAAGTAATGAACTAGTTCTACCAAGCTGAACTTTTTCTCTCTCAGCACATTCAGCTCTCTGAAGGTGAATGGAAATATGAACTGGATGTTCTGGTGGGCTTTGCCTTCAGCCCAGTCCAGAGTGAACTTCTGGGTTAAGACTGTTTTCCCAATGCCAGCTACTCCCTTAGTCATCACTGTTCTAATTGGTCTATCTCCTCCAGGTTTAAAGATGTCTTCTTGTCTGATGGTTGTTTCTGGTCTGTGTGATTTCCTGGATGCTGTTTCAATTTGTCTGACCTCATGTTCATTATTAACCTCTCCAGATCCTCCCTCTGTTATGTAGAGTTCTGTGTAGATCTGGTTCAGAAGAGTTGGACTTCCAGCTTTTGTGATGCCCTCAAACACACACTGGAACCTCTTCTTCAGACCAGATTTAAGTTTACGTTGATACACTGCAGCAATATATTCTAAATAAACAAATAGAAATATGAAATTAGTAAGGGAACATAATCTTCTAGACCTGATTTTTGAGATTGAGTGTGATTTCATTTATCCAGACATTGGTTAAGAGTGTGATTCATCCAATCATGTTTTATCTTTCTTCAAATTCACTTACTGCTTTGCAGATGGTCAGCCAGTTCCTGGTGTTTCATTTTCCTTAGAAAGGTCAGTGTGATCTTGATCAATGCTTCTCTGCTACTCATTATGTGCTCCTCATCCTCACCTTCTGACACCTCACCCTCATCTGTTCCACTTTCTGTGCATTGTAGGTCATCTGGACGCAATACATTCTGCATCTTCTTGAGCTCGTTCCTCACAAAAGAAACAATGTTATCCTCCAGCAGCTGGAACAGAACATTAAATGAAGAACAAATAAGTGTGAAATCATGAAGCCAAACATCAGAACAATGTTTAATGGAGTTCTCGTCTACTGGTCTACAAAGTGCAGCATGGAGACAACTGAAAAGAACAGAAAAGTAGTTTTTGTACATGTACTGACCATAAATATGGAATCCAACTGGGTTTGATGCTGCAGGGCAGATAATTTGGGAAACTGTGAGCTCTGCTCGTCCTTTCTGTTCAGAATTCATATAAAAAGTACTCAGGCTCTTCCTTAAGGATAAACACATGCATGTCCAAACACAGATAATTATATCCATTCTACACAGAGATCAACACAAGGTCATTGTTAGAGCTTCTCTTGCACCATATCAAGCTGATATTTTTTAAATTACTTCAATATCTGTTCTCCATCTTGTTCTAAAGTATGATTTAAGGTGCTTTCCATCTGTCCTTCAGTCACATAAAAATCCTGCTTGCTGTAACCCACTGCAAGATAAGTAATACAAAAGAAGCTGAAAATATTAGATGTGGAATTAATGTCCTTTAACTTTTTTCTTTTATTCCTTTAATTCTTCTATGTATATTCTAATTAAAACAAACTAGCCCAGAAGTTTTTAAAAAACTTACATTAAACTTCTTGATTTGCATTTTTTTGCATTAGCTGAGTTTCTGTGCTTGAAAAGAGCGGATTGTTCCTCTCGTTTATGTTAAACTTTGTTCTTAGATAACAACATTCTCTTGATGAAATCGTCTGTACTTGAAGTGCTAATCAGTCCTAGTGCAAGATATTGCCGAAGCTATAACTAGTTCTTATCTCAAAGAATTTATGACTTTCACTGGATATTTTAAGACAATTCATAATTTAATTGAAACACTAGTTGGAATAAGAATGGCAAATATCACTGCTTAAACAGAGGTGAGGATTAATCATTTTATTTGTTGTCAAGCAATTCCAAATAGTTTCATATTGTATAAAGAGCTGAAAAGAGGCAAGCTTAGTCTTCTGAAAATAAAATGTTCCAGACAGAGCTAGCTAAAGAGATGCTGCAGTATGGGGTCAGCTCTTCACTTTCATCCCCACCAGCATCATAGCATGCGCCCTTTATGTCAAAAAGAAAGTGTTTTGATGCTGCAGGTTTCTGTCACTGTCGTTACGTGCATGCTTGGTGTGAGGGATTGCTGCTGAGTCAATGAGTTCATGCAATCAGCTGGTTTTCTTTAGATAGAAACTTTGAACCAACCAGACTGTATGATCTGGTTGTGTTGTCTCTCTAATGTGTATTGAGATGACATATGTTGTGAACTGGTGCTATATAAATAAAATTGTGCCATGATGAATATAATTCAGGGTGAATTTAATTCGTTTTTTTGTATTCTGGTGGAATCTCCCAAGTGATAGCTTTCCTTGGATACCAAAGTATCCTAAAGTACCTAATAAAATATATTATTAATTACTGGTAAAAAAAAAAAAAAAAAAACACTTAGGTTTTTGCATAACAAATTTGCATAGAACATTTTAGGGCTCAGGAGGTTTCTTTGAAGGGCACAAACTCTTACTTTTCTCTTGTTAGAGGAGTATTGTGACATAAGTTATTTACATGCCTCTACTTCTCTACTTAAAAGACAGCATACAATGCTGGATTACAACCAACTTGTTAACATTTGGGTCATTTACTTCTAGATCTTGCACAAAATTACTTTTAATTATTACCAAAACAAATAAAGAATCGGGTAAATCATTTCTTTCTATGCTCTTCATCACTGGGACAAGTTTCAAAATACTCTTAGGCTACGTTTACACTGCAGGCCCTAATGTTCAATTCCGATTTTTTTGTGAAATCCGATTTTCTTGCGTTGCCGTTCACATTTCCAAATATATGCGACTTGTTTATGATCTCCTGTGTGAACTGCAGTCATTCAACGCAAGTGTCCTGCATGAGCAGTAGAGGACGCAATGACATCACAGGCCAGCATGCTCTGTGTTTACGGAAGTAAACATGGGTGGTAGTGCCGAAGCACATCTAGCGATCTTTCGTAATCATAAAAACACAATCTTTTCAAGACGGTTTAACATAAATACTGCTCTCCACATCATCTTCTGCCATGGTTGTTGTTTTTCTTGACACTTTTTCATAGCAAGAACCAGAAAAGTTACCTTTGTCGGGTAGTAATCGCGTTCAGTCCATTAATAGGTCGGATGAATGCGATCTAGCTGTTCAGACACAGGTTGCATTTAAAAAGATCAGATTTAGGACCACATAGCCAAGTGGCCTGGATCGCATTGGAAAAAAATCTGATCTGTGTTGTTCAGACTGCCATTTGGGTCACTTCAGGCTGCAGTGTGAACGTAGACTTAGTTTTAAGAAACTTAATTTAGGTGCTTTGGATCCGAGTCTATGCAAACGCTATCGTTATAAAAAATATCCATCACTCATAGCCTTACATATCAACATAGATTACTTGAACACATTAATGAGAGATCACATTATTAAATACTGTTGGGATAAAAGCCATTTTAAAAGAAAGCCATTTTTAAAAGATTTTCAGAGTTACAAGTTAGATACAACTCACCTTTCTGCTGCTAAAGGTTTGGCTGCTTTAAATTTAAGGGGAAGATCCTTGGACCAGTCACTGTTAAATGACACATTGCTGGGTTCAGGTTTAGTTTTGTGTTTCTCAGGCACCCTGGAAGAGAAAAGCTGTTGTTTAGAAATTTTAAGTAAAATAAACACTAAAACAACCAAAAACAACATATCAGATGCAAACTTGCTAAAAATAGCTCTTCTAATATTTCTGAATTTATATTGGTGACATCATTCTGCCTCCTTTTTCCTGGTGGTCTTATCTGATGTTCTTCCATGGGCCTACAATCTTTGGCAACAAGCCTTTATAGCGAGCCTCTGTCAGGTGTAGCCTCTCCCCTCCCTGACACTTTTTCCACTGCAGACTTATCAGATCTTCTTCTGTCCTCCCTCGATCCTCCACAATCAGCCTCTATTAGAGCTAATTTGTGTTTTTGTAATAGGTTATCTTAGTATTCATAAATCACAATGACTCAAACCAAGTGTATAATCCGCTGAGAGTACTGTCTGAATGTCTACATATGTAGCTTCTAAGCTAATTTCCCCCTTCTAAGATAGCAGAGGTCGTCGCTAGGCTTGCACTCAGATATGTGACATATCTGTGGCTATTTCATTAATTAAAGTTCTGAATAAAGCAGTTTAAGAGAACATTTCAGCCTCTGACTCAGGTTTTGGCCTATTGGCCAAACGGCAGTGACTCTCCTAAAGACTTCATCATTCTGCTTGGGGAATTCAGTTCCCATGTGGAAAAGTCCTTTCTTCTGTGGGAATGGACAGTGACACCTGCAATGATGTGATTGGGAGGAGCGGACCCCAGCTATCTTCGTCCTCTGGCATGGGAGCTGGCTCGGAGCTCGTCTGCCTGGCTGTGTGTTTCCTGGACTGGGCCGCCTTTTACAGCTGCTTTTTTGTGTCTCTGCTTCTGTCTCCTTGAACCCCAGTGGGCCTCAGCAGATGGCCGCTCACACTGAGCCTGGTTCTGTTGGAGGTTTCTTCTTGTTAAAAGGGAGTTTTTCCTCTCCACTGTCGCTACAAGCATGCTTAGTGTGAGGGATTGTATTTGAGTCAATGAGTCAATGCAATCAACTGGTTTCCTTAGATAAAAAACTTTGTATCAATTTGACTGTATGATCTGGTTGAACTGTAAAGTGCCTTGAGATGACATGTGTCGTGAATTTGGCGCTATATAAATAAACTGAATTGAATTGAAATTGAATTGTTTAGCCCATTGTCAAGTTTTTTTTTTTACCCTGATTTCTGAGAGTGCTTCTGCTACACACCAGGGAGGCTGGGGACATGGACTCTGAAAGGACCATGATCTCTGCCTTTATTGTTGAATAGCCCGTAGCTTTTTGCCGTAAAGTCTGTAGTGCCTGTGGAGGCTGCAGCCCCCGAACATGGTGGGGGACCCTGGCTCAACGGGGTGCTATAAAGCTGAATTAGGAGTCCTATATCCGAATCCTCAGGCAGCAAGCACTAACATGAGGCCAAGTGTGCAGGAGATCATGGAGAAAGATTATTAGTCAGCCTCAAATGGATTCTGGCAAGCCATCCAGTGACTTTGGAGCGGGAACCAGTGCTTTACTAACCCTGTTTTTATTACAAGTGGAGAGCTGCTGACCCAGAATGAATACCTTGAGGATCTCCTCAAACAGGCCTTCTGTGTTGTAAGAAAAGATGGGGCATGTGGTGGAAAAACTTAGGTCTGGATGAGATTTGCCCTAAGTGTCCGAAGTCGCTGGAGGTTGTCAGGTATTAATGGCTGTCATGCCTCTTAAACATTACATTTCGGGCAAGAGAGGATAGAGCTAGAATGCAAACCTCCCAATTTACCAGTTGGTCTATATTCCTACCCTCACCTATGGTCATAAAATCTGAAAGGGTAGTCAGGCACTTCCATTGAGATACAGTAGTAGCCATTTAAAATTTCCCCACTTTCCTTGATGGGCCCTTGGCTGGAACCCCTTCAATTCCTTTTAAAACATCAATCTCTATACAAAACTATTCTTCCTGTCATGATTTTGTCAACATTAAGATCTAAAGAGAAGCGTCATCTCCTGGTCAGACCATGTAAGGGTTGCAGTGAAAGGCTGGAGTCAGAGTAAAAAAATATGGGAGAGGTGGTCACTCCAGTGGCTGGAAGTTGGAGGGGATTTCACTGGGAATTGGAGGGAATTGGGCTGCCATTCTGCTGGCGTAGGGCCATTTTGAATGGCTGCTACTGTAGGATCAGAAGCTTGGGCAATCCTGGAGAGGCTTGGAATAGAGCCACATCCTGGGGAGTCAGCTGGGGTGGTTCAGCCACCTAATCAGGATGCCCCCTGGAGGGCTCTATTGGGAAGTGTTAAGGCAAGTCTCACTGGTGGAAGGTCCAATGGAAAGAAATGACAAGTAATTTATTTTTGATCAGGCTGTGACAAAGTGACAGTCAAATAGGAAAGGACACAGATACAAAGAAAATAATATAATAAGAATACAATAAATACAATAAAACTGATATTGTACAGCACTAGGAAATATACCAATAAAAAGAAACTATACAGTTCTAAAATAGAACCAGATATGGATTGCATATATTTGTTTAGATAGAAATCACCTCTCTGTTGTTGATGTTCTGGTTGGATTAAATTTAAGGGGAAGATCCTTGGACCAGTCACTCTTAAAGGACACACAGCTTTGTTCACATTTTGGGTTGAATTCTTGGTACATCCTGAAAGAAAAGCTTGAAAATGTAAATTGTTTTAATGAAAGTTCCCTTAAGAACTTAACATTTCAGTCAGTGCAGGTAAAAAAAATAATAATAAATAAATAAAAATAAATAAACTGAAAAACAAACAAGTACATAGAATGCTGATATGTATTTGTCTCTCAAAGTAGTCTTACTGTGAACAAATATTCTCATAGCTCATTATGGACTGTTTTTGAAATATACTTGTTGTCTACTCAACACCTTACTTGAATACCATTTAAACCTTCTCATAACTGGTATATTTCCATAGGAATGCAGCAAGGAACTGATTTATGTCCAGTTTTAGGTTCATAATTGTCAATGAAAATGATTGGTTGATATTATTGCTGGGTTATGTGATTGAGAAAAGGTACAGAACATTTCCTTCCCAATTTCTAATAAGGACTTATTAAGAGTTATTGTTTTGTTTCTGGTTTACTGAGATAGATTCTAACCTAGCACTTTGTTTAATATCGTAAGGTTAATAATTCGAGTAAAGTGGCTGTAGGCCAATTATCAATTTTTTTTCCTGTTTTTACCAGGATGGTTGAAAGATTTTTATCTGTAATTAGTTTTATTAGATTAAACTCTATAAATCCAAGTTTACACTTCTTCATTAACTAAAAGCTAAAGCCAAATTGGGCTTAATAATGTCTGATCAAATATGATGAGTAACCGACTTTCTTGAACTGATCATTTCCTTTTGTATATTGTTAAAACTGTATAAAAAAGGCTATGGACGATTCAAGATGGGGATCTTACCTCTGATCTTTATTTTTCTCACACGGAGTGGTTTTAGAGACAGAGACCCCCTCTTTTTTGTCTTCCCATTGATCCATGCTGTTGAATTCACACCCACATCAGCTCATATACAGTTGCTACCTTCATCTGCATAGGAAACACAAATAATTAATCTGTAGATTAACTGTGGTCATCTTGCATCGGTTGTTGTTGGACAGCCAAGTTCAACCAAGTGTCCCTGGCCCATGTTCAAGGGTTGGGCGTATATCTGGTTTCTCAAATCATCAGACTATTATGAATTATATTTTATCAAAATTGTCTTCTGTGTCTAAATGTTTCAGGTCTAAAAAAGTATGTTTCATCTAAAATATCTTATTTTCCAACTTTACTCATGCAACAGTTTGACTTCCATAAAATCCTTTGTTTTTTGTTTCAATTCTATTCTGCTATGTTGTTGAAAATGTGACCTGGCACAGATCGTTTATAAAATGGGAATTCTTATTATGTCTCACTGATTTTAGGTTTGGCAGCTGCTTAATTCTTTTAATATATAATATTATCATTAAATGTTACCATTGAACACACTGAATGCATCTTTCAGTCACGCACAGTGGGCACTAGCATTCAGTTCAGTAATCTTACTTGAAAACCATCAGCAGTTGAATCAGGAAGGTCTTTTTCAGATAACACACAAACGACCCATATAAAATATCTATTCTACATATCTGTCGACCAAGCAGAGTATTTATTAAGCATCACATGAGAAGATATTAAATTGTTGGTTCAGTGGAATGAAGATGGGCGGGGTTTTGGTCTCGGTTCGGTCGGTTCTGTTCTGTCCCGGTTTGGGCGCCCAGTTCGTTCGTCCAACAGGTAAGTATCGAAGATATTCTAATTATACTGATGCAACAAGAGAGGTTGACCGACAGAGAAGATTGGGTTTTTTGAGCCAGTTTATAACAGCAAAAATACATAGTATTGAAATTATGTTGGAAAAAGTAAAGGAACTAAACCAGAATCAAAAAAGATCAAATATCAAAATAGTTGGAATGGATCCAGAGAAAGAGGAACCAGATGATTGACAATCCAAAATTTAGCGATATGTTTTTGCCAAAAGTACAAAAAACATAGGAAAGGAAAATCCCACTTACAGTTTATTTAAATGGTCCAAAGTGTAGAAGAATATTTGAACAACGGACTGCGACACAGGTGAGCTGCTTCTTCAAAGGACATAGAGCTTCCATATAATGGGGGTGGGATAGTTAAGTGGGTGAGGCAGCAATATGAGTAGCATTGGAGTTCCTGGAGACTTCAAAGTTCAAAGTTTCTTTACTGTCCTCAATGAGCAGTCTTGTTTACAGCTATCAGTAAGATATTACAATAAAAAAATAAAACACACACTACACAGCAGTTACATGTCCTGGCTTTCAGGAGTAGCTTTAGCCACATTAAAAAAAACAACAACCTCACAACAGATTCATATTAGACCGACATAAAAATTGTGGAATATTAAGTCAATAAATCAAACTTTAAAGATATCTGAAAACTAAACTAGAATATCTGAGATCTTAGAAACTGTGATCCATAATTGAACACAATTGTATCAGTAACTCAAGAAATGTAAAACTGAGAGAAAAAAGCTACAAACACAAAATTACAGAGAAACTAAAATTAAACCTAAACAAAGGAAATAACCTTGACAATTTTGAGCACTAGATGTAAATGAACCAGAACAGAGAAGAGGTGCGACAATTAGATCTAAATACATTTTTGGTTCAGAACACTTAAGATGACACAGTTCAGACAGATACTTAATCCACATAAGGTCACATGACAGTTTATAGGACTCAATAAACCAGACAATGAAGTTAAAGTCCAAATTAAATAGATCCTAGGAGGGAAACTGGAATGCAACCTAGTAGAGGCCATAAATACCTTTCTAACTTACTTGTTTTCTTTATCTTAGTCTCATCCATTTTCTAATACCTATCTCAACAGACCTCATGGAGCGAAGGAATCAACTCTATCGTTGTAGGTTTTTGAAAGCTAAAATCTGAGTCCACCCCCTCTATTTGAGGTTGGTTTTTCTTTCTTAACATAGATCGCCTTCTTCACGGCCCTCTCAAAGAACCTGTCCTCTGTGTCCAAAATGTAAACATTCTGGTCCTCAAAAGAATGTCTTTTGTCCATAAGGTGTAGGAGCTCGCTCTTAAACCTTATGCCTCCATTTCAAGCATAGGACTGAAAAAGATGAAGCATCTTTTCCTTATTCATTTATATCTCTCAGACAATACCAGCATTGCAATGTAGTTAGGATTTTTTTCATCACTAACTCTGCAGAGCCTGCATAATCAACTTAAACCTAACTTCTAATATCTAATATTAATTTTAAGACTGACTTTAATGTGACGTAGAATGAGCTGTGTTGTACTGGACATTGATAAAATATTAAAATTATACATTGATATTTTCAATTTCTTTTTATCCAACATGCATTTTGTGCAGGGGTGTGCCCAGAATATTTTACTGGGATGGCCAACATGGGGCACAAAGCTAGCGAGAGGTGGCCAATAGAAAACCCTTTACAATCTATATACAGAACACAACCCAACCCCTCCCTGCTTCATAACACTGAACAGGAATGAGAAGGTTTAGAAAACAGCTGATGGTAATATACCTGAATAGATAAAATAAACAAGTCAAATACTTGTTCACACAAATGCACTTTATTTAAAATTTAAAAACAGATAATATTCACAAAAACCACATCAAACTGTGATATCATCCAATAAAAAAGTAATTTTTTGAATTTCTCACCAAAGCAGGCATTAGCATGAAGGGTCTTGTCTAAGGACCCATACTGGCATTTCCCCCAGTTAGCAAACAAACCCAGGTTCCTGTTTGCAGGACGGGTGACTTACCACTTGAGCTGGTTAACTGATCCAAGCACGGATCGGTTTCAGAGGGTAGTGTAAATGGGGCTTATGACAAGAAAAAGCAGAGATGTGCAATTTATTGGAGGGTGCCTAGTAAACGTTCGAATCCCACCAAAGAAAGGGGGCATATTAAATTACCAGTGAACTTACCCCCATCCAAAAAACAACCTATATATATATATATATATATATACAACCTATCATATGATGTGACTCAAGAAGATCTTGTCACAGATCCTCCCTAGTAGTCTGCAGTTGTGGTGGCTTTCAATGGTAGAATGTCAAAAATCAGGACACCTTCAGTCGATCATCTGATTGCCCCAGGACAGGAGAAGAAGCATTTATTTTATAGATCAAATTGACATGCTGTCCTCAGTACACATAACACAGCGCTGAACATTTCAACAGAACACATCTAGCTTTTCTCAACTCTCATTCAAATCTGGGCGTTTATATAGTTTCAACATTGCACTGTGTGGATGTATGTGCACGACTGGACGCTCTGATAAAATTTCCTGGAAGTTCTTGGCCTGTGACCGGATTGCGTGCGAGTGGGCCTTAAAGACTTTGTTTTCCAAGACTAGTACTTTGACTTCCTGCCTGTGAACACATTGTTACTGCCAATAAGTACGTGGCTTCCAGCCTGTGAACACTTGTTATTGCCAAGATGTGTACGTGGCTTCCAGACTGCTTGCTCTGTGTTATCAATTATTGTGAGCTTAAGGTCACAATGACCTAAGGCAACGCAATTCGCTTCTACATTCCCTCCTGTAGTTCATTGAAAATGAAGTACTAATGAGAATTTGCATAGTGATGGTAATATTACGCAACTAAGTGCACTTACGTGTATGTGAAGTTTAAATGAAACGGTATCTAAGTGTTACCGACGCAGCCCAGTATGGATGCAAGTTGAGAAAAACAAAGTAAATGAAAATTAAAGTGTCATGATTAATAACAAAACTAAAGTGAATAACAAAACAAAGTGAATATTACTGAACCTTCAAAGAAAGATCATCATTTTCCACATGGCCATGGTTCGATTAGTATGGGATCGAAAACCCCTTTTTCGTCCTGTGGGCATCTTACTCTTTCATTTCATACTCATTTAAGAGGAAACTATCCCATCGACCCATGCTTCCCCCAAACATCCATCCTTCCTCCGGCGTCGGCCGTAGCACAAATCGCATCCTGACCATGCTACTCATGATGATCTGTGAAACCAACACTGTTCCAAGCATTCGACCCAATCTTGATATTACTTAATATGTGAAGGGTAACTATTCAAAACATTTCAAATAACTCGAACTTAGTTATAGTGTATCGTAGTATATAAGGCTAGGTAAATGAAAGAAAAGGAAAAATTAAGTAGGTCAGTCAGTCAGTAGTCTGAGTCCCCAGTCCTCTAAACAGCCACCCATGTATAGCTTACCATGTAAAAGAATAAGACAGTAATACAGATTATAATGCAAAGCAATGGCATGTTACAATCATCAGGTTTATATTTACAGAATACAAGAATAATCGATACTTGTGTTGTCTTCATTCCTGTTGAAAAAATCAAAAATATAGTTCTTTCACTTCAGGGCTCTGTCCTTGGCTTTTAAAGGCCTGAACACAGGATCACAGGTTCCCGCCTTTGGTATTTTGCAGGCGGAAGTTGAAGGTTTGCAGTCTTATGCCTGGAGTCACCGGTCTTTACAATCCATCCCCTCAAAATGAGTAAGACAGAAAAACCACAATTAGTGTTCTTATCAGCAAATATCAACTAATCATAGACAATAATATTCATATTATTCCAATCCTATTGTAGTACGTATTGTTTGACTTATCTAATTCAAATGGAGAAGGATCCCATTCCCTCCTGTGATGCTTTCATCACATCTGATCCTGTCGGTCGTCCATCTGCTGGTGGCTCCTTGGTGTTGCATTTCTCCGACGTGTAGCTAGAGTTTGCTGGTCCTCTTGTCCTTTCATTACTCTTTGATGTACCTCCCTTAATATTTGAGTTCAGTCAGTCTGCTCCTTGGTTGTCCTGGTCCCCTGGGCCTCGCATATCGTTCATGTGTCCATGGCTTATGCGGATCCAGAGTGAGGGCAGTCCTTGTCCCAGTGTCCTTAAATCTCACTATCAGACACAGTCACAAAATAACATGGATACATAATATGGTCAAACAAAGAGGTTTCTACTGAAAACAGAGAAAATTCAACAATAAAGTTTATCATTTTGAAAGAGTTATTTGAAACATCAAGATATTTTTATTTTGCAGTATATCTATAATATAATAGAGCTATAATAAAACAATTTAGTGCTCTGCTGACTTCTTCCTACTTTTTGTCTCGGTTGTCTCGGTTGGGTGGAGGTTTTTGAGGACCCAAATGCAGAGATCATGAGGCAGAGGTGAGTCTTGCAGATTTAATATGCAACTGAGGCAGAAATACAAAAAAATAGAAAATACTGAGAATCACTAATAAGATTACGTCAGGGGAAAATCATGTGGGAAGCCAGAGACCGGGAACCAACAAAACAACAAACCAGCCTATGAGTTACTGCAGAAGTGGTGTATATATTGGGAGACTGAACCAAGATAGGGTAATAGGCAGATTGGGAGCAGGTGTGGGCAAAAACTAGAGACTGACACGGGAGTGGATTTTCACTCCTGTCCTGTCCCACTCCCACAGAAAAAAATGGTGTCCCGTCACGATCCCGGGCCAGAGTAGAAATCTAAATCCTGTCCCGTCCCACTCCTGGTGAAATTACTCCCACTCCCATCCCGCTCCCATTCAGAATGACTCCCGCTCCTGCACCACTCCCATTCTTGTTGTTTTTGAGCGCGGGTGAAAAACTCAGAGCGGAAGTTACTATTGGTTTGCTCCCGCTCCCGTTAATGTTTAATCCTGTACCGTCCCAATCCCGTGATCGTTACTAATACTGACTCCCATCCCACGGGAATCCCACGGGAATCCCACGGGAATCCCGTGACCCGTGGGATTCCCGAAAAAATGTCAGTCTCTACAAGAACAACTAGGAGGAAGCCAAAGGGAGAGGAAACAAGCACAAGAGGGCAACAGATGGTAACTAAAGAACTCAGCACTTGTGGAAATAAACCACAAAGACACAGAACACAAAGAAGCTAAAAATAAACCCAAGCAGACTTCAGAACCCTGACACTTTTCTCATGACTCATCGCAAATACTTGTCATGCAATAAAATGCAAATTATTAACTTATCTCAAACAATATATTTTATGTTTTAGATCCCATCCATTAGAGCTGAAAAGGTCCATTGTAAAAAATTAAAGATCTTTACAGGGTT